TATAAGGTAGCAGGTCAACCTGACACGATAATAAAAAGTTAATGATAAATTAAATGTAACGCCGTTATGATTTGACTATGAAGTCAATTTATTTTATTTTAAATTATAATAATATTATTATAATATAATATATAAATGACGGATGATCCAAAAAGTGCGGATTAACAATATAAGGCGCTGGTAAATAATACGGCATGTATGGAATGCAAGTCACAGATGAACTAGTTTACATAGTCGCCGATGTGTCTCGCGGTGCTGCACCCCCTGACTTGTCCTGTCTACCGACCGCCGGATAAGACAAACTAGTGTTATCGTCAACACTAATGAGTGCGAAGGTGGACAACTGATAATCACGAGCAAATAACGTGCTAATATACTGTAAATAAATAGTACACTATTACGGGCCGTGTCAAACCAGTGTGGGCTACCTACTCCTATGTCCACCGTCATGACTATATTTGACTTATCGTTCGTAATACATTAGAGGGTACCTTTTATATCTTTTATTCTACGATTTATAAATATTATAGATTCATTTAAAGACAACTTTCGGATACAAGGTGATATTTATTTAGTTGGACATGTGCAAGAATAAAATAATTGGAATTAAATTGTCATCTAACCAACAAGTTTTAAACATTTTATTTTACAATTAGCGACATGTAAAATTTAATTTACGCCAAACCACTAAATTAGTTATTAAAAAAATAATTTTATTTTGGAAAAAAGCTAGAATTCCTTATCACAGGTAGTAACATTACATTTTAAAACTTGAAAAATTGTACATAAACTTAAGAGAATTACTTAAGTTATCAAAAATAATTACTGAAGTATAATTAAAAAAATAAACGAACTAACAAGGTGAGGTCACGGTGATGGGGTCACCGATTTTGATAAAATTTATATAGATCTAATCTATATTGAATACAGAATCAGACGTATTTGGAAATTTTTGCCAATGCCCCCCCTAAGTAGAGAAAATTGACTTTGAAAATTTTTAACTAGCTTAAATAGGGTCATTTTTCTTCTGAACAACAATTCGTGTTATGGTCCAGTCGACAGTACGTGATCCTCTAATACGTACAGGCTCGGAATCTCGAGTCTTCCCCACCACATGAAATTTTTTGCTTTTTTTTCACTGTTTTATCTTTGAATTATTAATTTTATGTAATATTTGAAAAATTTTTTATAATAATAAATAAAATATATTTTTTATATTAACCTGGTAAGAGTATATAAATTATAAAGGAGAGAGATTTTTGAAAGGTTCAGTGCAAGGTTTTGCGTGGAATTCATATTTTATGAAGGAGTAAAGTTAATCATTTTTTTTTTTTTCATTGAATAAAATTTATTCATTTGAATGAATTATATTTATTGATTAATATTTACGTGTATTTAAAACTCTTAAATTATTATTTTTAATAATCTATTTAATAATCAAAATTAATAATAATAAAAAAAAAAATTAAAAATTATTATTTATTCAATTGACTATGACTTTTTGTCATATAACAAACATACATTTTTTTAATAATTAAAATAAAATATATTTTTACTATTAACCAGGTAAGAGTATATTTATAAAGAGATGATAATGAGGAATTAAATATATATAAAATCATTATATATTTTAATTTAATCTATTGTAATTTTCAAAAAAATTCATAAAATATGAACTCCACGCAAAACTTTGCACTGAACCTTTCAAAAATCTCTCTCCTTTATAATTTATATACTCTTACCAGGTTAATATAAAAAATATATTTTATTTATTATTATAAAAAAAATTTCAAATATTACATAAAATTAATAATTCAAAGATAAAACAGTGAAAAAAAAAGCAAAAAATTTCATGTGATGAGGAAGACTCGATACCGAGCCTGTACGTATTAGAGGATCACGTACTGTCGACTGGACCATAACACGAATTGTTGTTCAGAAGAAAAATGACCCTATTTAAGCTAGTTAAAAATTTTCAAAGTCAATTTTCTCTACTTAGGGGGGGCATTGGCAAAAAATTCCAAATACGTCTGATTCTGTATTCAATATAGATTAGATCTATATAAATTTTATCAAAATCGGTGACCCCATCACCGTGACCTCCCCTTGTAAGTGAACAATTGCCTGTGTTATTTGATATGGCACACTTAAATTCCCTGGATATAATGATAAAAAAAACGGTATCACAGTGTGGTCGAGGCACAGTGTAGACAAGGCATAGATGGGACAAGTATAGATGATATTTGACAGTGATTAAAATCACTATCATAAGAATCGTTTCGATGCAAATCTGTAGGTAGTGTTTCATTTAGAGAAATTGGTGGATTATTCCAGAAGCAACATCAACTCTTATTTCTTTGATTATATCCTAATTAGTAGTTCTTTGATTTTAAAATATAATATATGAATAAATACTAATTATAATTATTAAATTTAGTATGAAAATGAAAAAGTAAAAAAAATTTAATAAGTTTAATTTCTTATGTCTTATGACCTTTATTCTATGTCAATTAAATTATATAATATTCATGAAAGTCAATATATTCTCCTAATAAGATATTTTAAAATAAAATAAAATACAAAACCTAGAATTTTAATAGAAAAATAGCATATTTTTGAATACGGTAGCTATTTGCAAATAGAAGATAGGTAGTCGGGATAAATTTTTTTTTTTAATTTTAAAGTGCATGACATAAGCTTTAATTTGATATATGTTTAAAGGACGCAGTATTTCCGGAACATTTTCAAATGATTTCAAACGAAAGGAAATTACCTAAGGTTTCAGTATAAAAAAAAAATTATGTTGATTTGTTGATTTTTGAAAAAGTTATTGAAGTTTTAAGGACAAAAAACATCCTTATAGAAGGTGATTCTTATCGCAAATATTCCTTTTTTTTTTAAATTTCGACAGTCATTTGCACATAGAAGATAAGATGTCGGGACAAATTTTTTTTTTTTCATTTTATAGTACATAAAATAAGCTTTAATTTTATATACGTTTTAAGGACGCAGTATTTCCGGAACACTTTCAAAAGTTAAGTTGAATAAGTTCTATTTTTTATACAATATTTCAAGTTTTGAACGCCCCCTATATATGGGGAAAATGTCGAATTTTAATAAAAAGTATGTCAAATGAAAGATGTACTTATAATGTATTTAGAAAAAAAAAATTTGTGCTGATAATTACATTTTTCGAAAAGCATAAGCAGGTTAAGTGTTAGATTTTCAAAAAAATTATATCAAATGAAAGGGAAATATCAAAGGTTCTAGTATAAAAAAAATTTATGTTGATTTGTTTATTTTTGAAAAAGTTATGGAAGTTTTAAGAAAAAAAAGTGAGAAAAATGACAAAATTTACCGATTTTTAAATTTGTAATTTTTTTGGATATTTCCCCCATTTACGGGGAACGAGGGAATTTTTTTCAATTTTTATGGGTAATGTCTTCAACTAGATACGATCTGTGATCTTTTGACGTATTTTTGAAAGAAATCAGTCCAGTGAGAGCTGAGAAAAAGTGGCAACAGACATAAAAAAAAAAAAACACATAGTAAAATTAATACCTTCTCAGCTTCGCATCGAAGCTAAAAAATTTTAATTTTTTATAAAGATTATCTTGTTTTTTATTGAAATGGTAACGTAAGAGAAAAAGTCAAGTAGATAGATAGCCTAAACAATTTTAAGGTATTTAAAGAAATAATAAGATTCAAAAGTAGTAATTAAAAGCCACTTTAATTTGACAGTTATATTTTTTTCTTATTTGTAAAANCAAGTAGAGTAACAGTTTCAAGTAGAGCGTGAGCACCTCTACGTCTTAAGGGATGGTAATCTCAAGCCGGACCTCGTCGCAACTATTGCGGACGAGACAAGAGGTACGAGATCCGTTATCCTGGATGTACAGGTTGTTTCGGCCACCAACATCAAAGACTGGCACGAAGAGAAAGTACGAAAGTACGCCAGCCGCCTTGATTTGAAGTCCGAAATCATGGCGAGACACCAATCGACTGATGTGCATACAGTCGCCGCGACCATTACTTGGCGAGGGGTGTGGCTACCTAGCTCGTTAGAGAGCCTTAAGGCTCTTGGGCTAAGCCGCTACCTCTTGGGTGGACTTGTAAGGTCAGTCCTCCGCGGTACCCTGCTGAACTGGCACACGTTCAACAGGTCGAATAGGGTTTTCGGGCGGGTGGGTGTCGGGTGAATATCGCCGTCCCCCCGCAACACGGGAGCCTCCTCGTCTCCCCGGAATGGGTCCCTTAGGCCCAGTCCACATTCCTTTCATCTATTCCATCTTCCTGCTTGTCCGGGTCTAGGCTATTACATGATGAGTAGCCTCGGCCTACCTCCATTTTCCTACGGCTTTCCACGGGGTAGAAGCCGCCCCATCCAAGGCGACCCGCATAGCTATGAGATATGCGGGCCGTTGGGGCGCCTTTCTGATAAATATTTAAAGAAATAATAAGATTCAAAAGTAGTAATTAAAAGCCACTTTAATTTGACAGTTATATTTTTTTCTTATTTGTAAAAGTACTAAAACAATTTTGGAGGTTTTGTATTTTGAAAATAAAATCGTAACACTATAAATAAATATTACCTTAATTTGAATGTTACTAAGTGTGTGTAATTGAATCTAATGATAAAGTCTTAGAACTTGACGTTCTCCACAGTTTATAATTAGATTGAAACTGAGGGAAAATAAAATATTTTTTACCGTTCAAATCCATAATTTATAACAATAATAGAAATTACATTAACTTTTTTTTTTCTGTAAGTTATAAATCAAATTTACATTTTATTGGAAAAAAAGTCTCTGAGGCTAAAGAAAAAATTTCTGTTAATGTGCTCCTTTTGTTGTTTTGAGAAGGTTGAAAATAAATATCTTTGATGGATATATTTTAAGATGTTAGTTCCCATAACGACATCATGTCTTTTATATAAATATGAAAATACATTCAATATCAATTAAAATATTAAACTTGAGTTTTATAATTTCATGTTTAAGCTATGAACCCCCAGCGACATCAAATTGTGCCTGAAAGATCTACTAATAGAGAGCAAGGTCCATCTACGTCGTTATTACAGCCCGAATCTTTTGAAAATCCTTCACTTCAGGAAGCAACATCTATTAGTGATGATCCAAATGGACCAGATTCGAAAACTATGACTAATGATTCAGATGCAGGTTGTAATTGTTCAGATGATCCCCTCAAATACAGATGTTGGACCATGAGAATGGCTTCGGAAAACAATCCAGCACCTTGTATGGAAATAGTTGATGGTGTAAAGAAAACGTTAAAAACGCTTTTTGAAATGACAGCTACTACTAAATCTCGATGTCGTAAAACTCGAAAGTCATGTGATTGTTGTTAAATTTGTATGCTTTAAAGGTTATTTTATTACTGAAAGTTTTGTCGGTAATAGAATAATTTTTAATTAAATAATTATATTACAGTACTTAAATGCTATCAATATTTGTCTTTAGATTTGTAGACATTTACATATCTTTTATAATTTAATTCAAGTATAATTTTATCACTTTTACCCCTATATTTTATGGTTCTAATAATTAAATATAAAGATTTGTTATAAGATGTTTAATAGAATTAACAAAACAAATGATGGTTGGATTATTATTATTTTTTAATCAATGATCCATAACTGAAGTTTGGATAGTTAATAAAAAAAAATAACGCTAGTACATAACACGTACATGTATAACACGCATGGGCATGAAAACATACTTAACTAAAATTACAACATATAAACTTAATGTTAAATGTGCCCACTATTATGAAAATATAAGTACCAATTTTTTCTTTTCATGACCTTTGAGATCATCTTGCCGTAGAACAAATCCTCCCCCATTCTTCTCTATTTTCCGCTGCTCCATCCAATCCATACCTCCATAATCAACTCCTCTAGCATTTAGGAAATCATTTTTGATTCCATCTTCCTAGCGTATCCTTGGTCTACCCGGTGGTCTTTTGCTCCTTGGGTTTTCTTTGAACCTTTGAGTCTTGCTTTCTACATACGTGTCCTGCCCATTCCAACTTACTACGTTTGATCTCGTTACAAATACTTGGTCTATTGAATATCTCCGTCAGTTCTTGGTTGTGGTCTCTTTCGGAGTAATTCATATTTTGCGGAGTACCCACCTCTCAAAAATATGTAATCTATCCTCTTCTGCCTTTCGTAACGTCTAACATTGTGAACCATACATGATTATTGGTCGTATTATTGTCAGATACAGCTGAGTTTTGACCTATTTTTAAAGGATTTTAGAGCATAAAAGTTTGCCTAGTGCATAGAAGCATATATTTCTCATTTTAATTCTTTGTTGAATTTTTATTTGACATTCATTCTTCTGTGTAACAATAGTTCCCAGGTATTTGAATTCCTCCACTTTTTTGAACTCGTATTAATCCACTGTTTCAGTTATAGGAACGTTACCTCGTTCCCTACTAATTTTCATGTACTGCTTTTCTTCGTGTTGAGATGTAACCCTAACTTTTTTATCGATTCTATTAACCTGTCACATAAGTCTGCCACTTTTTGTTCCTCTTCCCCTAGAAGGACTATGTCGTGTGCATAGGCGAGCAGACTAATACAAGTTCTATCCATTTTTACTCCTTCATCTCTTTCGATATTCATTTCTCAGATCACCTTCTCTAATACTAAATTAAAAAGGATTGGTGATAGGGCATCACCCTGTCTAACTTTAACTTTAGTCTGTTTTATACTAGCTTCAATTAAATGTACTATTTTTCTTGGGAAATGGAAATGCTTCAAAATTTCGGTTATGCTAGTTCTATCTATACTGGCATACGCCTTTTGAAAATCAACAAAGATTATATGGAGTTCCTTATTGTATTCCCAGCTTTTATGGAATAGCTATCTGATTACAAAGATCTGTTCCGTCGTTGACCTGTTTTTCCTGAATCCACATTGATAGTCCCCCACCACTTCTTCCGCCAGAGGTTTGATTCTATTCAGAATGCAATATGATAATATCTTATATGTTGTATCTAGCAGCACTATTCCTCTATAGTTATTATAGATTTGTTTGTCGCCTTTTTTATGAATTGAACATATATATGCTATTCCCCAATCTACCAGTAAAGTTTTCTTTTCCCACACTTTCTTTATTAATAAGTATATACTTTCTATCATGGAACTATCTACATGCCTTAATACTGCCCCTTGAAGGTCATCTTCCCCTGGTGACTTGTGGTTTTTTAGTCTTTTGATTTGTTGTTCGATTTCCTCCTTTGATGGGGCTGGGCAGGGATCATTATTGGATTCGTTGCTTTCAAATGTAAATGTATCTACTGGTTCTTCACAATTGAGTAGTTTTTCAAAATACTCTCCCTATTTCTTTATTATTTCTTCCTGGTTCGTCACAAGGCTTCGATCATCCTTTTTCAGAAATTTTTCTTACCTTCTGTATCCTCCTTTAAAGCTATTTACCTTGTAATATCTGGAGAATTGTAACTGCCGCGTCTTGTGTGACCTGTAATCTTGTTCTGCTTATTTTATTACATTTTGAACATAATATTACATACTTTCTCTTTTCACATCTAATAATGTTATGAGCTTTTTTTTCTTTTTACTCTAAAGATTCTTTCTTTTTCAAAATTGTCAGCGTCATTTAGCGTCAATCTTTCTCTTGCTATTTTCCTTCTGTCCAGGGCTTCTTGGCATATAGTGTTTAACCATGGTTTATTCGTTCAATGAGCTTTCCCTAAAACTTTCTCTGAAATTTTTCTAAGGGTATGTTTAATTATTTTCTATTGTTCATCAACTGTTTCAGGATTTGAGTTAACTTCTCGTACCATTTCCTGTATGTTTTCTTAAAACTCTTTAAATTTCTTATTATTCTTGAATTTCTCTACATCATACCTGACCATTTCTGATTTCATTTTTCTACTCTTTGTTTTTAGCTTAACCCTAAGGTTGCTTGCTACTAAAAAATGGTCGGAGTCTTAGTCAGCTCCCCTGTATGTTTTTACATTCGTTATGTTGTTGGCGAATCTTTCATTTACCAATATATGGTCAATTTGATTTGAGTACCTACCATCAGGTGACATCAATGTCCCTTTATGTATGTTCTTATGCGGGAACATTGTACTCTTGTGCCTTTCCTTATGGCTAAATCTACTACTTTTGTTCCAATGTTATTAGTTATGTCATTCAAACTGTGGACACCAATAGTTGGTCTAAATGATCTCTCATTCCCTATTTTGGCATTCATATCTCCTAGTACAATTATTATTTTGCTATTACTTATCTTTTCTAGTAGTAGTTCTATCTCAGTATAAAAATTTTCTTTTACTTGTTGTGTTTTGTCTTCTGTGGATGCATGTACGTTAATGAAAACGATATCAAAACACTTAGTCTCCATTTTTAATAACGCTAGTCTTGGGTTGATTACTCTAAACTCTTTTATCGTTGGTACTATATTCTTACCTACTGTAAATCCAACTTCGAATTGTCCTCTTTCATCACACCCACCAAAAACAATTGTCATATTGGTTATGTCTATACTTCCTGTTTCTTTCCATCTTATTTCCGGCAGAGCTACTACTCCTAAGATGTATCTTTCTACTTCTTTGATCATATTTTGCGCAGCACCGCGTTTGTAAAGTGTTCGTATATTTTAAGCTCCAAAAGTGAGTTCCGTGTTTCTGTTTCCATATCTTTTTCGATGGAATCTAGTCCGAGGCTTGTTCTAAGGTTCCTGGACAAGGTATTTTTATTAGGCAGGGTTGTTAACCCTGCAATCAACCCCCAACCTGGAAGACCAGACTACCCCAACCACTTAAGGTCAGGATACGACTATTGCAGTGTACTTATTAAGGTACACTGGGCGATGGAAGCGCCACTTTCCCTACGCCATAAAATTAAAGTACCATTGAACTTAATAAATATTTGTAAGTTATAAGTTTGAAGTGTAAATTAACGATCAAAAGTTTACTATATTAAGTTATAATAATCGATTGAACAAAACTTAAAGAGACAGAAAAACGTCTTAAAACTACCGAAAATGGAGTAAATGACAAAAAAATTCTTTTGAACATTGACGGCTGTTTTACTATATAATGATATTATTAATACCGATACGGTGAATCAGTGTGACCAAACATATGAGAAATTCGTGAGAACACTAGGTTTTATAATTTCATGATTTTATTTTTTTTGTGAACGCTGGTTTTAAATAACAATTATAACACTTAACAATATTAAGATTTTACTACAGAAATGTATATTCCAACTATTTACCGTAAAAACTATACATAATACTGTTATTGCTGTTTTAGAATCTTACAATTATCTAAGTTCAATACCTTTACGGGTTACAATCAAGGGTAACCTTTGATATTTTAGGAACCGGTTGACTATGAATCACTTACATTATATGTGGGGACACATCATGTTCTAGTTAAGTACATTAATGCATAATTACGACCCGAACAGGCGCGTTACGTGGGTGAAGCTCACTGGTCGTCAAAATTTAAGTAATTGATTTATTTTAATTTAGTGTTAAGTACGTTAAACAAAAGTATTTTTTTTTAATTTATATAATATTGTATATTTTAACTTTCATCGAATTGAAATTTTAAGTATAAATTATGAATAAAAAGTAAAAATGTTCTGCCATTTGGTTTAATAAAATAATTGTTAATTTAATTGCTCACCAAGTAAAAGTAATTTTTTTAGGTAATATTTTATGCTAATTTACCATTTTACGTTTGCTATGGAAATAGCACCTTATTGTTTATTATATATTCATAAATTTAGTACTACTTTTATGTTTCACTTAGTTTTTTATTTTAAGTTATTCATTTTTATCTCAACTTTATTACCTAATATAGTTGAAAACACAAAAAATTATGATAATCAATGCGTCCGAAATAAACGATTTGCAGATGGAACTTTTGATTATACTAATCGATTTCCGTTCATAGTTTGTATATCAATTTATTTAAAAAAAGATGACGGGGTGTTACAACAATCTTATTTCATGACTGGTACATTAATAAACTCAAGATATGTGTTGACCAATTACTATCCTTTAGTTTATTTACCAGAAAACGTAATCAGAGTAATTATACAAAATATCAAAAGTTATATTTTTATATTTCATAATATAAACAAATTTTAATTATTTTTTTAATACGTTGAAACAGAAGTTAAAGTAGCAACTTTTTCATTATATAATTTTTTTTGAAATTAAATCGCAGGTCAGAAAAATGTTATGAATATTATTATAGTTATTATAACGTTTGAAAAAGAGTTAAAATATAATAATAATATATAATTGATAATTTAATCGTAAAAAATCGCCACTTTTTTAAACTCTTACAGACTGATTTTTCTTAACAATACGTCCAAAAATTCTATCTAGTTGAAGAAAATTCCTCGAAAATCACTGCTCAAAGTCTGTGGAATTCCCTAAAAAAATTACGATTTTTAAATTCAGTAATTTTTGACATTTTCTAACTTTCCCTTTTATATAATATAGAATAAAAAAAAAATAGAAACTTTTCAACTGAACAAAGAAAGTTCCAGAAATAATCCAAGCTTTAAACATAAGCTAAATTAAAACTTATGCTACGTATAAAAAAGTCGTCCAATTTATTTTGTTCTATATGTAAATGGCTCTAGAAATTTATATTATTTTATTGAAAAAAATAATTTTAGTGTTATTATATAATTTTCTATTTCAATTAATCTTCTACTTTACACGATCTCCCACATCATCAACGCTTATATCAGCTGTCCTCATATCGCATTCAATAACATCCCTCCATCTCTTTTATGGTCTTCCTTTACCTCTTCTTCCTTCAACATTCATTTCTATAACTGTTCTTACAGCTACTGTTCTTAATTGTTATATATATGCATCAAATAAATTTTTTTTAGAAAAACGTTTCCTTTAAATGATATATATATTTTTGAAAATCCAATTTTGTATAATTCAAGTTTAATACTACTGAACATGTTACGAAAAGTCGACTACATGATACTTTAAGCTCCTCAATTTATTAGAGTAAATAAAAAGCAATCTTGGACTAATGATGGTCAATAAAAATCATCTATCTCTTAACACTTCCTAAATCAGTAACCATTGACCCTAACAACATTCAGACTGCTGGGATTCCAACCGGTTCAACTGAAGACCTGGAATAGAGATATGAACATTTCAACTTTAGGGACAAACTTTAGTAGATAAAAAGTTTATCTGCGATATTATAGGTTTTATTTATTTATTTTGTATGGTTTGTATCCAGTACTAACAACATAAATGAATACTATAACAACAACATCAACTACAATAAATGATATTGATAATATAGTAATGATCAGTAAAATAGATAAAATATAAATATCCAGAATTTCTAAAACGCTGCGGATTTAAGACTCTTAATTAGGGTTCTTCACAGATGTGTTCTGTTCTGGAAAGTTTCTAAACAATTCAAGAAAAAAAATGTTCTATCTTTCTTACCATTTAACTTATACACCAGTGACATATCCTAATTTTAGCGAATAAAATTCATTTACGCAGAATTTACGATGGTAGGTCTTCTATGTCAAGTATTTACAACAAACTCTGCGAAAAATACCTTACGATAGACCTAAGTAAATTAAATAAGTACTGCAATAACTAGAGGCTTACATCAAACTCAACTAAAACTGAAGTCACACTGTTCCATCTTCACAACAAAATGGTAAGACAGGAAATAAGGATTGTTTTCAATGAACAACATAAAAGAATAACATTACACAAATGTGTAATACAGAGAATATTTAATTAAAGATTATAACTCAAAACAATATAATAAATAATCTATCCCAAATTACCTAGGGTTTAGATGCGAATACGTATAGAATATTTGCACTTATTCTCACCTTCTCGGTAGATGAGTACTGTGCACCATTCTTGCTTATAGCTCACATAAAAGTAAAGTAGATACTCAAATGCAACGATGAAGACTATTTCCGAAGAAATTAAGTCAACACTAGCCTCTTAGATACCAGTAGTGAGTAAAAAACTCCACTTCACCTACGAAGATACTGCCTATAAAAAATTATAATTTCAAATTATCAATTATAAACATCTAAAAAAAGTGAGAGTAAATAAATTGTCTTTGTACAAAATTGAATCCAAATTTTCCTTTTCTTGCTTTTTTCCCAACTATTTAAGATCATTCTTATACTTAACTTCCACTATACACGATCTGATCACTCTCACCATCTATGCACACATAAGCCGTCTTCATATAGAATTCAATAACATCCCTCCATCTCTTTTATGGTCTTCCTCTACCTCTTCTTTGTCAACATTCATTTCCATAACTGTCCTTACAAGCTTCCGATTTCTCTCTCTCCTCATAACATGATCAAACCATCTAAGTCTTTTCTCTCTAATATTTTCGACGATTAACGCTTATCTACACTCCGTCTTACATATTCGTTCCCTATTGTAAATTCTCTAGTCACTACACTCATCCATCTAAGCATTTTCATTTCTACTAAACTCATTCTCTGCTATATTCCCTTGTCGATCGCCCAACATTCTGAACCATAAATACATAACTGGTCTCACTTTAGTCTTGTAGAACTTACCTTTCAGCCTGATTAGAATTTTCTTTTTGCAAAACAAACTAGTTGCTCTACCCACTCGAGTTTAATCCTGTGCCTTACACTCTCGACAAAACCTTGATGCACTCCTAGTCTTACCCTTAAAATTTTTTGTTATTCCGCCCATACTTTTTACCCTGCTACATGGTCATCTTACATATTCTCTATTTTATTAAAGTATCTTTTTGAGATTTTTTTTCTCAATAATACTCACTTTAAAATCACTCTCGATACTTCATCAAACACTTTCTCCAAATCTATAAATACCACACACAGGTTTTTCTTTTCCCTATACTTTTTTATTAATTGTTTCACACAAAAAACATGTGTCCATCGTTGACTTTCCAGGCAAAAAAATCTATTTGGATTTTTGTTACTAATATTTCTCTTCTTATTCTTTTGTCTATTAATATCCTACAACCACCTAATGCAAACATTGTGTAATATTTTCCATACTTTTACTAGCACATCATCTTGTCCTACTGCTTTAATTTTTTACATTAATGACACAACCTCCCATAACTCAATCTCAATAAATAACTCAAACAGTCTTTTGTTCTATGAGATATCCTCTAATGTCTCTCTTTTTTATTAAATATAGTATCAATTACTTGATTAAAGTCATTGTATATTTAAATAAATTTATTAAGATAGATATAGCAACCTTTGTATGTAATCGAGGCCAAAATTGTAATACAATTTCAAATAAAAATAATAATAATAATAACATAAAAAACCGATATTTTTTTAAAAAAATAAATACACATTTTTTCAAAATGCGATTTATTTCTAATTTATTAAGAGTTACTCATTTTTTTTTTTTTGACAAATCTGATCAATTTAATTTCAATAAGTATTTATATTTTTAGAATGATGAGTAATTAAAAAAAAAACCCATCACAGGGGGGTTGCAGCATAGTGGTGACGTGGCATAGTTGGATCAAGTATAATAATATCTGACAGTGATTAAAATCACTATCAAAAAAAAACGCTTCGATGCAAACCTTTAGATAGTGTTTAATTTTAAAAAATTGGTGGATTATTCCAAAAGCTTCATAAACTAGCTAGTTCCTTATTAATATCCTGATTAAGATAAAGTATGTAGAATGAAAAAGGGATTATTAAAAAATAGTATTTCCCATAAAAAAATTATATTGATCATTACACTTTTCAATAAGCTATAGCATTATAAAGTTAAAAATGTAAAAAATAAAATCGATAATTTTCACACAATAATAGCATTTGGTAGCCATTTTCACCGTGAAGACAAAATAAAGTCCGAAATTTTTTTTTTACATAATAAAGTATATTACATTATTTTTAATTTAAGATATATATAAAACCCAACCGGAACACTTTAAAAAGTTAATTTTTTGTGAAAAATTTGTCATTTTGAATCCCCCCCTGTAGGCAGGTAAAAAGTCAGATTTATAAAAAAAATATACCAAATGATAGGTAAAGACATCATGCATCTACATAATAAAGAATTATATTGATCCATACATCTTTCAAAAAGTTATAGCATTATAAAGTTAAAAATATAAAAAAGAATTTTTTTACAAAAATCGTATTTTTTTTATTAAGTTTAATGTCTGTTTTTACCATGAAGATAAAATAAAGTCCGAAATTTTTTTTTACCATTATAAAGTATATTACATTAGCTTTAATTTAAGATATATATAAAAGTGTCAGACCTTCCGGAACACTTTCAAAAGTTACGTTGAAAAAGTTCTACTTTCTATATGCATTTTTATGTTTTGAATCCCCCCTGTATTTAGGGAAATGGTCCGATTTAAAAAAACAGTATGTCGAATGAAAGATCTATATAAATACTACTTCTCATAAAAAAATTGTAATGATTCATACATTTTTCAAAAAGTTATAGCATAATAAAGTTAAAAATGGAAAATACAAAATCGAAAATTTTCACACAAAAATAGCATTCGGTAGCCATTTTCACCATGAAGATAAGATAAAGTCCGAAATTTTTTTTTTTCATGATAAAGCATATTACATTAGCTTTAATTTAAGATATATATAAAAGTGTCAGACCTTCCGGAACATTTTCAAAATTTAAGTTAAAAAAATTAATTTTTTGTGAAAAAGTTGTCATTTTAAATCCCCCCTTGTGGGCAGGTTAAGGGTTAAATTTATGAAAAAAATATACCAAATGAAAGGTAATGATATTATGCATCTATATAAAAAAGAATTATATTGATATGTTTATTTTTGAAAAAGTTATGGCACTTTTAAGTAAAAAAAATTGAAAAAATTTCGAAAATTAGCCATGTTTAAATTTGTAATTTTTTCGGAGGTTTCCCCCATTTACGGGGAATGAGGGAATTTTTTTCAATTTTTGAGGGTAATGTCTTCGACTAGATACGATTTGTGATCTTTTGACGTATNTCAATTTTTGAGGGTAATGTCTTCGACTAGATATGATTTGTGATCTTTTGACGTATCATTGAAAGAAATCGGTTCGGTGAGAGCTGAGAAAAAATGGTAACGGACAAAAAAAAAAAAAAACACATCTTAGTAAAACCAATACTTTCTCAGCTTCGCATCGAAGCTAAAAATGGTATTAACTAAAATCAAAGAAATTTAGTTGTTTAGATTAATATAGAACTTGGTTTTAATATTTAACATGATGTTGTTAAGATATTAAGTACCATTCACTTAATCTCCCTATTTTTGAAAGATATATATTAAAGAGGAATAATAATATATTAAATATCCCTGACATATAGTAATTATTACTTATTAGTCACTGATAAAGTAATTTTTTTTTTTTTTTTTGAGTAATTTATATCAAATATTGTATTTTTTTAATTTAATCTTCATAAATTAAAATAGGTAATGTTTCTAAATCAGTGACAAGAAATTTACATATTTTCTAAATGTAAAAAAAAATTATTTTCAAGCAATCAAGTTTTTATGTTTATTTTTTTATAGTTAGTTCTTTTGTTCAGATATATACCAGAACGTGTTTCAAAGAGTCAACAATTACAGGATACATTTACAGACGTTTTAATCTAGGGATCAGTATTAGTCAAAATGAGTTTCCTAAAGATAAGGGAACTGATGTGTCTTTGATATTGATGAATGATACATTTAGTGATATTGATGAATATCCATTAGTGATCTCCAAACCACTAGTGTATGGTGAAAAATTGAATTGTGAAGTTATTGGTTTTAGTCCACACGGTACTGAATATAAAGAGGATGTTCCTGTATTTAAATTAGACAGATTTGACGACATTTATCCGTCAATTAAATCAATAGAAGTGACTTTTAAAAAGGAATGCAAAATGGTAAAAGAAGAAAGGTAAGTTTTTGAATATAACTTATTTGTATTTACTATATTATAAATGTTAAATTAAGAAAAATTTGTACTATACAGAATGATTTATTTAAAATGAACCACTTAATTAATCGAAAAATAAAAATATTTTTGAAATTTTTTCTTTTGGTTTCATTTAAATACATATTTTTCTAAATTTATCAATCATAAATTATTTTTTATATTTATTTCTTATATCTTAGAAACATTCTTTTTAATAATGAAATTCTATTATACATTTTTACAGATTAAATTCTGATTTATTTTTATAAATTATAGTAAATATAACAATCTTAATATTTACTATTTTATCTTATTATTGAAAGAGAATATATTGTATATAGTCAATTATACATTAATATAATTTATTTATTAAGAATTATTGCTTAATTCATTATCAAAAAGTTAAATAAAAAACAATCTACTAACACTATGCTTATTATACTCAAAACAACATTAATTTTTCGGCTTTCATAAAGCCAGGGAGCAATATAATAGCGGCTTTTTTTAATGTAATCTTTATTTATGTACTCCTGTGTATAAAATAAAAGTCGCAAAATTAGAGGATTTTTAAATGTTTTTCAAATAAGCTAGTGAAAAGACTAGCAGTGAAAATTTAAAAAATATTTAGCTGTAGAAATGTTAATCACTGAAGAATAGTAGAATAAAATTTTGAAAAATTTTCAAATTACTACTTATATAAANAGTAGAATAAAATTTTGAAAAATTTTCAAATTACTACTTATATAAATAAAATGCTAATTGTAAAAATGACTATACTTTGATATATTTTATGAGTTTCATTTTATTGATATGATTTAATTATAGCTTTGATGCGAAGCTGAGAAGGTATTCATTTACCATGATGAGTTTATTTATTTTATTTTTATTTGTGTACTGTCACTAATTTTTCTCTGCTCTCACTGGACTGATTTTTCTTAGCGATACGTCAAAATTCACAAACCGTATTTAAATGAAAACATTACACCTAGAAATTGAAAATTTTCTCTTGTTTCTTGTAAATGGTGAAAACTCCACAAAAAATTACGATTTTTAAAATTGGTTATTCTCGTTATTATTTTTTAACTTTTATTTCTTAAAACTGCCATAAGTTTTTTAAAAATGTACAAATTAAAATATTTTTTTTTTTTAATAGTTTAGGTATTATTCTTTCATTTGGTATAAATGTTTACAAAATGTAACTCTTTACTTACTCACAGAGGGAGATTTAAAATAGAAACATTTGCACTAAAATTTAACTTTTTCTACTTAAGTTTTGAATATGCTCCAAAAATATTATCTCCTATAAATTAAAAAAAAAAATTTGTCCAAATGGCCTATCTTGTATGTGCACATAGCGCTTCCGTAGTAAAAAAAAATACCATTTATGTGTTTACATTTTTTTCTTTGTTTATTTTAAAATATCTTACAAGTGTTTGTCATAATAATGAGTTCACCAATTTTTATTAAAGTTACATGAATCTAACTTACATTAAATACAAATTTAAATTTATTTTGATTATTTTGCCTCCTAAAGTTAAGAAAAGTGATTTTGAATTTTCGAACTAGTTTATATTGTTCTTTTTAACCAAAAATATATGTAATGCACAATGACTACGTGGAATATAATATAAAGTCTTATACGCTCGGGGTATGATGTTCGAATTCCGGCCGTCGTAATAACTTTTCTTGCATTGCTTTCTTAATTCTTTTTTGAGATTGAAAAAAAGTTCGTTAGATTTTTATCTCATTAAGATTAAATGACTTCAATTAATATCAAGGACACATCAGTGTAATCTCCCCTTGTAAGAAGGAATTTCTTAATCACATTAAAAAATTTTACTATAAGTTCTTTTTTTGTGTCTGCCATTCGTCACTTGACCAATTTTAATGATCAATATATCAAAAGAACACGATTTTAATCTTGTTGAACTTATAATCTTCAAATATTGGAAAATCTTTTAGTTTTAAATATTTAGACAAACATCTCAAAATTACGCTACTATTAAAAATGGCTATTTCAAAATACATTTTTAATTAATTATCTTCAATTTAATAGCAGTATCAAATTCAATTTTATGATAAATTACACAGTAAAATTATATCAATAAAATGAAACATTTTTTAAATTTCATAGATAATATAAATACTTTACTAGACCAAAATTTTAGGCAAGTGTAAAACTAGATTTTTTCTAACACTTCTTTTTAAAAATCGTTAATAATTAAAAAGAAAGAATTTACACATGAAAAATTAAGTTGAAAAAGTTAGTTTTTGTAAAAAAGTTACTATTTTAAATCCCCCCATGTGAGCAAAATAAGTGTTAGATTTTCAAAAAAATGATAACAAATGAAAAGAAATTACATAAGGTTTCAATATAAAACAATATTATTTTGATTTGTTAATATTTGAAAAAGTTATGGCAGTTATAAGTACGAAAAACATCCCGATAGAAGATGATTTTTATCGCAAACATAACATTTTTTTTTTTTTTCGACAGCCATTTGCACATAGAAGATAAAGTGTCGGGACAAATTTTTTTTTCATTTTGTAGTACATAAAATAAGCTTTAATTTGATATATGTTTAAAGAACTCGGTATTCCCGGAACATTTTCAAAAATAAGGTTGAAAAAAAGTTGCTATTTTAAATCCCCCCCAATGAGCAGGATAAGTGTTAGATTTTCAAAAAAATGATATCAAATAAAAGGGAAATATCTCAAGTTTTAGTATAAAAAAGAATCAGCACAGTGGGGTGGCGGCACAGTGGGGTCGTGGCATAGTTGGGTCCCGTATAGATGATATCTGACAGTGATTAAAATCACTATCATAAAAAACGCTTCGATGCAAATCTGTAGATAGTGTTTAATTTATAAAAAAAAAATTTGTTAAAATAGCATATTTTTGAATACGGTAGCCTTTTGCGCATAGAAGATAGGTAGTCGGGACAAATTTTTTATTTTTATTTTATAGTATATGAAATAAGCTTTAATTTGATATATGTTTAAAGGACGCAGTATTTCCGGAACAATTTCAAAAATTAAGTTGAAAAAGTTATTTTTTGTAAAAAAGTTACTATTTTAAATCCCCCCAGTGAGCAGAATAAGTGTTAGATTTTCAAAAAAAATTATATAAAATGAAAGGGAAATATCTAAGGTTTCAATACAAAAAAATATTATTTTTATTTGTTCATATTTGAAAAAGTTATGGCTGTTTTAAGTATAAAAAACATTCCCGTAGAAGGTGATTTTTATCGCAAACATTACATTTTTTTTTAATTTTCGACAGCCATTTGCACATAGAAGATAAGATGTCGGGACAAATTTTAGCTTCGATGCGAAGCTGAGAAGGTATTGGTTTTACTATGATGTGTTTTTTTTTTTTT